CAGGCTCTGCACTGACAGCAGCCAGCCCAATATGGGGCTGGAACTCACAAACGAGATCATGACCTAAGCCCAAGTCGGACACACAACTGACTGAGCCACCCAGGCGCCCCTGCGGGTGTTATAGGGGATGTGGGACAGTCACAGTCTTGTTGCCCACAGTTATGCTTGAGGACAGATAAATATGAGCTTTTTGGGGTATGAAATTGAGCACAGGAGTTTTGCAGTCCAATTGATAATAGCCCCTCTATTTTCTACCTTGCTTTCATGAGATACTATTTCTTCCCAGTGATGAGTACTTTCCAACATGTAGACGAAATCATTAAAAATGATTCAATGATTCTGGTGGTGCAGAGACTGCTTGGGATTCCCTCTCCCTCTGCCCCTCCCCTGTTTGCCCTCTCTATCTTAAAATGAATGGATAAACGTAAATAAAATAAAAAAATAAAAAATCTTAATGTCTTTCAAAGTTTATCTTTTTATTTTTGAAAGAGAAAGGGGGAAAAAAACCCAACAAATGCAAGCAAGGAGAGAGGCAGAGAGAGAGGAAGAGAGACTCCCAAGCAGGCTCCACACTGTCAGCACGAAGCCTGACATGGGCCTCAAACTCACAAGCCATGAGATCATGACCTGAGCTGAAATCAAGAGTCAGATGCTTAACTGATTGAGCACCCAGGAGCCCCAATTCAGGGATTTTAAAGTGGACAGTAATAGCTGGGTGTATAATGTATCATAACATGTACACAGCAAACACTCTTGTGCTCTGCCAGCAACAGAGATGCCAAGAACTCTGAAAAGTATTTGCATGATGTAACCTATTGTGGACTGTTGATTCAGCAGTAATTTTTCATGAGGAGACCGTGACTGTTAATGGAGCCAGGATGCTTAAAACTGAAGGGCAGGCCAGGCTGAACCCAGGCCCTCCTGCTCTCCCTCTTCTGTAACCTTCTCCAACCTGCCAGCACTAACTCTGTAGCACCCCTATAATTTCCTCAGAATCTTCCTCTTGCCACATGCACCTGCCTTTTCCTTTATTTCTCCAAAGCTTTATACACAGACCCCAAGCTCTCCCAACTCCTCCATTTATTCATATTTAGGATATTCAAATATTCAGAGAAAGGGAATGGATAGGGGATCCACTTAGTACATGTTAAATGTGTATTAAATGACAGGTCTATATTTCTCTAGTTAGGGTCAAGAGACATAATCCTACAGGTTTGAGAGGTTCACAGGAATTTAGATAATGATAGCTAATATTTATTGAGCACTAACCATGTTCCAGATATTGCTTGAAATACTTTATATGTATTAACTTAGTTTCACTATAACCCTACATAGCAGAAAATAGGTTTCCATTTAACAGATGAGCAAATTTAGCAACACCCTTATCCCATCAAACAGATGAGTGGCCATGGAAAGGTTGAGTTATTAGCTCAAGGTTATAAAGCTAGTAAATGGTGGAGTGAAGACCCAAACCCAGGAAGTCTGGCTCCAGAACTAATGATCTCAACCTCTTTGCAACGCTCTCATCTGGGGCTTGGATGGGCCAAGATGGCTTCATACATGGGCCTGTTAGTTAGCTGGGGCTGTTGCCGCCTCCTCCATGTGGTTTTCCCAGCAGCGTACTCCAGCCTTCTTTATATGGCAGCCAAATTCCAAAGGGTAATTGTCATGTGGAAAACTACCTTGATGTAATGTCAGCCTCCAAGTATACCACTGCAGGGTTGTAGGTAGGTCACAGGACAGATGGGCTTATAGACCAAATTAAGACACTTGAATTACATTGTTTATGTGACAGCTTTAAAAACACGTTCCCAAATTCTTTGGCATTGCTCCCATTCAAAGGTGGGAGTCTATATTCTTTTCTCTTGAATCCTGGCTGGTCTTAGCAGCTTGCTGGTAGCTAGGAGGGTAGGTGAAGTGAGGCTGCATGACTTGGGCTACGGCAGAGAATGTCATGGTTTCTTTGCAGACACTCACTCTGAGGGAAGCCAGCTGCCATGTGAGAAGTCTGCCCTGCTGGATGCAGGGGCTGTAGGAAGGTAGTCTGGTTCACAATCCCGGCTGAGCATGCAGCCAGCCAACAGCTAACATCAGTTGTCGACCACACGAATGTGCCATCTTGGGTATCCGGCCCAAATCAGCCTTCAAACAACAGCTGTTGTGAGTTGACATCTGATAAGAGACTCCAACAAAGAACTGCCTAGCAAGCCATTGCTGAATTTTGGAGCCACAAAATCACGAGCAAAATAAACTGGCTACTTAAGCCACTAAGTCTGGCATAACATGTTCACTCAAAGAGTAGCAACAGTAACCCAAATTAATTATCAACCAATTTAAGTTTATTTATTTTTGAGAAAGAAGGGGAGGGGAGTGGTGGGAGCTGGGGGGCAGAGGAACTGAAGCAGGCTCTGTGTGTACAGCAGAGAGCCTGATGTGGGGCTCGAACTCATGAACTGTGAGATCATGAGCTGAGCTGAAGGCAGACGTGTAACCAACTGAGCCACCCAGGCGCCTCATTCATCCATCAATTTAGAATAGAGTGGGAACCAAGGGGAAAGAGATGGGATAGATAAACAAGCTTAGGATAGCAGGGTGGATCTGAATTTTGTTTCATGCAGTGTTCCTACGTACTAACCTCTCTGCTGTGCCAGTCTTCTCTGCAAATGGTGTGGTTTTAAGGACCAGAGTGGAAAGTAAGGGGGGGGGGAGCCGGAACCAACACAGATCTGTTCTGTCAGAGAGATGAAGGAGCAAGAGTGTCTGGTCGTAACTGTAGCTGGTCATTAGCTGGCTGAGTAGCTAGGGGTCTATCTGCTTTTCTCATACAGACTACGTGAGGTTACAATGGGGCTATAACGGGTGTCACTAGTAAGTGTCCAGTTGTTAGTCTAGAGGTAGTCTAATCTCTACTTTATTAATATTTAAAGTTCACTTCGTCTATCTTTCTACCTAAAGGAGCACTTTCATTTGCTCCATCCTTTTATCTACGATCAACACATATCCATTTATCCTACGTGTAATGTCTCAGAAGCAAATTGTGTCTACATCTTAGTTTCTTACTTTCTACAGCAGACTTGAATAATCATAAAACATACAGCAAACAGATTACGACAAGCCTCAAGAACAGGCACTTAGATCAGGTCCGTGATGTCCCACTTACTGGCCAAAGCAAGTCACACAGCTAAGCCCAGTCAATGCGGGACAGGTCTACACAAGGCAATGGACGCCCCAAGACATGACTGATTTGGAGCACCGTTGTAATAATGTACCACTAACATAGCTAGGAAATGGTGGATCCAGCTGTCACACTTTCAGCAATCTGTTTCTGGAGCCCACACACAAAACGGTGTCCTCGAGACTGTCAGGTATCGGTACTTAGTGAAGAGCTTCTCCAAACCTCACTTCCCAAGCCCAATGAATCAGAATCTCTTGAGGGTAAGAGATATTGGAGAGAAGGTGGTGTTAATCCCCCAAACTTGAGACTGAAATAACCCCGCAGAGGATTCTAACACACACTGGGGAGATACAGGGTTTCAAAAACAAGAAAGACAGTCTCAATAGGCAACTTCATTTTCCATAGAGCACATTCTTTTTTTTTTTTTTAAGTAATCTCTACACCCAACGTGGGGCTAGAACTCATGACCCCAAGATCAAGGGTTGCATGTTCTTCTGAGCCAGCCAGACATCCCTCACAGAGCACATTCTTAACTGTCATTATTACACCAGAGACGCTGCCGTGAAATTTTTTTTTTTAAAAATTACTTTTATGTTTAAATTAGAGCAGTGGTTCTCAAACTTCTGTGTGCATCAGTATTAACCGGAGGTCTTGTTAAAGCACAGACGACTGGGCCCACCCTCGGTTTCTGATTCAAGGGGTTCTGAGCAGACTAGGGCAATCTGCGTGCCTAACAAGCTCGGCTCTCCGGGAACCACAGTTTGAGAACCACTGAGAGCAGTGGGATGATTTAGTGATAACACTGACTCACACTGATATATTGCACTTTCATGATTATAGTACATTTACGACATACGAGGTCTTCGGCTGGTGCAGCCGCGGATACGATAAGGGTAAGATTTGGATCTTGATTGCAGTTGAGCAGCTTTACTCCCTAAGTGGATCTAGTCTCTAAGACAGGAAGCCTAAGTATCATTAGACAGGTTCAGATAAAGGGGGAATCTGAGTTCCTTTGGAGGAGTTAAAGGAAAGTCTGGAGTGGGAGACCCTTCGTGCTGGGTCCTGGACACGTGGAGACAGTGTAGAATCAAAGGATTCTTTTCGCCCTGGCAAAGAGAGAAACAAAAACAAAACAAACAAACAAAACCAAACCTTGACAAACACCTGGAAAAGGTCTGTGACGTTCTTGCCTCCCGCTCCAGCATGAAGGATCTGCAAGCGCGGGCATCAGCACGAGCAAGCGTGTTTTCCGTGACAAGGCCTCAGTTTCAAACCCTGGCTTCTCCCTCCCTTTGGGGCTCTCAGAGCCGGTGCCTCAAAGACGAGACGGAGTGTCTGGCCGAGGCCTCAGTGGCCGCTGCCTTGGCTAAGGGCGCGCGCGACTTGGGTGCTTCAATCCCCCAAAGCCTGAGCGGGACGTTGCGACGACCCCCGAGAGGTGGCAAGGCCCGTGCCGGGCGAGAGGGGCCGCACGCCGAGGCACCGTTCAGAACGAGCCCCAGGTTTAGGCATGGCGCTAGGCCGGGCCGGCGGCAGCGACACTACCCTGCGGAGCAGGAACTCCACAGCTGTTTCTCTCTGTTCTTTGCGTTGAACTTCAGCGTGGCGGACGGCAGCACAGAGGATGCGCGCGCTCGGTTCCTCCACCGTCACGCACCGAAGGGGGCGGGGACTCGTGTGCACGCTGCCAAGTCGGGAGGGAGGGCCGCTCGGGAGCCCGCGGACTGCGCCTGCGCGGCCCCGCCTCGCCCCTTCGCCCCGCCCTGTTAGCCCTTACACCGCCGCTAGGGGTACCGTTGCCGCTGAGGCCTGAGAGCGCGGCGGCTTTGAGGGCGCGGGAGCCGTACCGAGCGCCGACGAGGGCAGGCGAGAGGGTGGGAAAGCCTGCGGGAGCGGAGGGCGGCGCCGGAGGAGGGCGGCGCGTGGCTGACTCATCCCTCTGGAAGATCAAACTGACGGAGACAAACCCTCGTCCAACCCGCCCGCGCCGCCCCTCCTCAGCCGGGAGGCGCCCGCCCGCACCGCCCACCCGCCCTCTCCCCGCCCGGCAGGCTTGGAGAAAGTTTTTCTCGTCGGAGGGACCCGAGCCGCCGCGGGCCTTTCGGAAGGCAAGGGGGACTGGAAAGGAGGCGACCGCCGCGCGGGCCCGGGGAGTGCATGGTGCCCGGCGCCTCGGCTGCCAGTCAGGAGGACATCGGGGCGGGGTCGGGCTGAGCCGAGCTCCTTCCCCCTGCCTCGCCAGAAATCGCCCTCCCGGACTGCCGCGGGGGTCCCCGCTCCTCAGCCCGCCATGTCCCGGCTGCTGCCGCTGCTGAGGAGCCGGACCGCGCGCAGCTTGAGGCCGGGCCCGGCCGCCGCGCCCCGCCCGCCGTCCTGGTGCCGCTGCGGGCGGGGGCTGCTGGCGCTCGCGGCCCCCGGCGGCTCTCGGGGGCTGGGCACCCACCCCAAGAAGGAGCCCATGGAGGCGCTGAACACGGCGCAGGGCGCGCGCGACTTCATCTACAGCCTGCACTCCACCGAGAGGAGCTGCCTGCTCAAGGAGCTGCACCGCTTCGAGTCCATTGCCATCGCCCAAGGTAAGGGGGCGAGTGAGGGGCGAGCCCGGGGGGCCCGGCGTCCCCACCCCGCGCCTGTGCCCGGGGAGCCCCCCCCTCCCCGCCCCTCGGCCCAAGACCCCCGCCACCCCTCCCCTCGCCCGCCTGGCCACGCGCCTGGGACGTCCGGGCTGGGGAGGAGGGGAGGGGGGTACTTTCCGCCTCCTGAGTGTCCCCAGGGCAGGTTGGACAGGCGCGGATCGTGCCAGGCAGCCGGGACCGACGCTTGGCTGGTTCCTCCCCAGCCTCAGAGGCTGGAGCTTCAGCCCAGATTGTCAAACGATTCTGTTTCGATCGTGCTCTGATTTATTGCGTGCCTCCCCTCCCCGGCCCTCCTGTGCCCCCGAAGCCCTTGCTGCTTTTCTTGTGAACGTGCAGCCGCGCAGATGCATGGCGTGGCTGCTCGGAAAGTGCTACAGAACCCGAGAGGCAGGGAGAAACTTTTCTTGAAAGGTTATCCAACCGAGATGTACGGGGGTCCAAAAGAAGGGCTGTTGCTTCCCAAGGCAGAGATGCTCTCAGCTGTGTGATGGCACACACTTGTAGTTGTATGAAATTAAACAGCCGAAGGAAACATTTTCCTGGGAAATGGAAAGAATGAATCAAACCAGCCAACTGCAGATAACGAACTTGCAAGCCCGTAGAAGTTCGGCGCTGCACAAGTTCAACTCCAGTTGTTTCCCCAGAGGTTGAAAGAATGTAGTAAATAAGAATGTATTTTTCTGGCAATCTGTGGCTCTACAATAAAAAGCAGACCTTCTGCTTTAAAGTAATGTGGAATGGTGAAAGCAAAGCTATTTTTAAGCTAACATGTTAAAAGAGGATATTTTTAAAACCCAGTGCAGAATGCTGTAGGTCAGGATTTGAGAGCAGGTAAAGAAAAGCTAAAAATTCAGAAAATCCAAAGGATGAAAGGAGTAAATGATTAATTCCATCTTGAAATATGTTTGCAATTTAAATACAGTAGTACAGACAAAATGCATAACACAGACAAAATATATGGCTATTTTATTTCACATTACAGTGTGTTTGACATTTAACAATTTCCCTCCCCAAAGTTGGTAGGTGCATAAACATCCCATAGATTCCAAAGTTGAGAGTACATTGATTGACTGGAACGTGGCATTTGCTTTGCCAGAGGCACTTGAACATGTTTCTTGGGCCTATAATACAGAAATGGAAGAAAGTCATATAGGCATGACTTGCCTTTACTGCTCCTTCAGAAACTTTCTCTTCCTTGTGCCTTTGAACTGGTTTTCTTTCTAGACTCAGGGAATTGTGGGACAATTTCTAGTACTCGATATTCCAGACAATGTCTACCCACAGCGCATTTATAGGAGAAATGTAACATCATAATCAGTTCGGTTATTAAGTGTGTCATGCTGCCATTATATGAAATAATAATCAAATACTCGTGTATTTGTAAGGTATGTTTGTATTCATTGTGTGGTTTAAGATGTTCAGTTCTGAAAATGTGCTCCTGGGAAAACAATACAGACAGTCTGTATGCTAGAACCTTAATTTTAGGAATGTTTTCTCCATGGGCAACACTATTTTGAACATACACTTGGCCTTGTCTAAGTAATTTCTTAGAAATTCTTCTGCATTAACATTGTTTCAAGGTCCAAAGGCCCTATTAATATAATTTTTATGATAATTCCTGAAAAGCATATCCTGTGCTACAACTGGGTGAATTGTACCTCATATCTTATTGTTTTAGCTTGTGGCGGTCGAATGGCAGTACAGATGCTACATTCTCCTGTGAAGATCATTTTAAATTTGACATGGTTTTAAATATTTTAGAAACGACCTATACACTTTGGTCAGTGGAGGTTTGTTAGCATCAATTAAACTTAATCACTATGTAAGTTAGATGAGAGAGAAGTTAGTAATTTGTCTTCTTTGTTCAGGATAAAAAGGGAGAGGTATAGGAAACAACGTGATAGTCAAATGCTTATCTGCTGTTCCTAAGCTGAAGAACTTCAAAGTTTAAATCAACTGGGTTTGCCAGTATTGTTGACTAAATTATTGTGCTTGGACTCAAATGATACTTCTTGACTGCTTTAATTTTTAGTACAGTCTTAGTATTCCTTATTGTGTTCAATATCAATACATACAGTTCCTATGGAGATCAGTGAAATCATTTTTCCCCAGTCAGACGAATGAATGACTCCCATGTTTTTCTTTTATTGTTGCTTTTTAAATGTTTTTAAATACCCGACTCATGTACTAAATGTGTGTGTGTACTAAATGTACTTTCTATTAAATTGTGTTAAAAAGACGGTTTCTGGTTATAGGAAATCTTACGTGTTCTTGGAAAGTGTGCTTGTATGATTGAAATAAATGTTTTAAATTTGGTGTGGAAACATTACAGGAAAAAAAACCCATCTATGCTTTGATATGGCAGTGGGGAATCTGTTGGGTTTTTTAAATTTTTTTTAAATGTTTTATTGATTTCTGAGAGACAGAGAGACACACATACACACACAGCGTGAGCAGGGGAGGGTCAGAGAGAGAGGGAGACACAGAATCTGAAGCAGGCTCCAGGCTCTGAGCTGGCTGTCGGCACAGAGCCGGATGCAGGGCTCAAACCCAGAACCGTGAGATGGTGACTTGAGCCGAAGTCGGATGCTTAACCTACTAAGCCACCCAGGCACCCCAAATCTATTGTTGATACTTGGTACATTTGCCCTTATTTTTCTTAGTGTTAATCAGTAGACATGTGATATGATCTGTGACAAGATAAAGACTTTACATGATTCTAAATAGATATGGTGAGCTTTGTGGGATGTCTTATCATAGTTAAATCGGATATTGTGATTTTCAAATTACAAAATGATTTCCTTCTCAGTTTTAAAGAAGTTGATGTTGTGTTCTCAGTGTACCTGCTCAACCTAATCTCTCTTTTTCTAGAAACAGTCCATATTTTCCTGATAATACTTTGTTGGTTCATTGTTTTTATAATAGGACTGGCAAGTTGACATTATTATAGTTGCCTTTCCATTAGCCAAGATTTATAAAACAAATTTGTCTTTAAGTTTTTGTAATTACAATTTCTATTCATAGTTTTTTTTTTTTTAACTTTCAAAACATATGAGTTGTTTTTGAAGGACAATGCTCATTGTAGTAGTTGTACATTACTGTGTAACAAATTACCCTAAAACATAGTGGCTTAAAACAAACATGTTTTTTCTCAAAGTTTCTGGCTATCAGGAATCTTGAATCAGCTTAGTGACATGTTTCTGACTCAGGGTATCTCGTGAAGTTATAATCAAACTTTTATTTTTATTTTTTGTAATCAAGTGTTTTTGCTGGAGCTGCATCAGCTGAAGTCTTGCCTGGGGCTGGAGGACCCATTTTCAAGAAGGCTCACTCACAGGCTGTTGGCTGGAAGTCTCAGTTTCCTGCCCTGTGGGCTTATCTGCAGGGCAGCCTAAAGTGTTCTCAAGGCATGGAAGCTGGCTTCCTCCAGAGTGAGTGATGAGAGAGAGACAGACAGACAGACAGACAGAGGGTGCTTAAGCTGGAAGCCACAATATTTCATAACCTAGTCTTAGAAGAGATGGTCCATTTATTTTGTCCACGATTTTACATTGTGGGAGGGTGCCATACGTGGTGCACATACCGGGAGGTAGAAATCACTGGGGGCCATCTTGGAGGTTGCCTTCCACACTTACTTAAAAGTGTTATAATTAATGTTTATTGGAGAATTACACAGAAGGATAAGAGCTGGCTTTAGGGGACACACAATGAACGATATGATTTGGAAAAGAAAAGGAGCTTCTTAGGTTGTTATTTTTGTAAATGTGTACTTGAGGTATTTTTATAATGAGATTTCTTTCACATAATAGTAGATAAGTAATGTATGGAGGTGAACAGAGCAGTTTTTGTTAGATCTTAATTACTTGCGTTTTTTTCTATTTCTCTGTGTAAGTAGTAATTGTGTATGTTTTAAATTTGCTCTCTCTTTTTTTTTTTTTTTTGCCATTTACCTACATCCATATAGATACACCGTATAATTCTAAACTTTAATCTTATAGTTCTCATCTTTTGCGGATATTTATTTAAGATAGGATGTTTCATTTTGAGAACTGCCATATACAACAAGAGGCCTTGGACAAAATGAAAGGCCAAAAGATGAAAATCTGATATGAAAGTGGATCCCGAGAAAACTTAAAAACCAGACTCTTCATGGAGTTCTGACTCACTGGGGATTTTGGACTCTTAACAAGAGTATCCTCATTTTAATCTGGCCATGTGTAGCAACATGGATGGACCTTGAGGGTGTTATGCTGAGCGAAATAAGTCAGGCAGAGAAGGACAAATATCATATGTTTGCACGTATAGGAGGATTAGGAGGAACTTGACGGAGGAACAAGGGGGAGAAGAAGGGCGGAAATGGTGGGGGAAAGGGAGAGAGGCAAACCATGAGAGACTCTTGAATGCTGACAAAAACTGAGGACTGATGGATGTGGGGGGGAGGGGGGGATGGGCATGGAGGAGGGCACTTTGGGGATGAGCACTGAGTGTTATGTAGAAACTAATTTGACAATAAACTATTTGTAAAAAAAAATAAAATAAAAAAAAAAAAGAGTATCCTCATTTTTCTCAGCCCATGGTTATATGAGAAAGTAGCAACTTAGTTAAGCTATTGGTTTCTGGGATGATTGGAGATAATTGTGGCTTCTGCTTAAAGAGAATAAAGAGAAGGCAAGAAAAACATTTCATTCTAAATTAAGATATATGAATAAATATATTTCAGAGACTTGGTTGAAATAGTAAAAGAGGAATAGGGAGGTGTAGCCCAAACTAAACCCAGCAAGAGAGGAAGAACCAGGATGAAGATATGAAGGGTGAATTGAGTCAAGAGGAATGAGAGGTCTCTGATAAGCTGAGAGCTGCTGCTGCATCTCCTCTTTCTTCTCCTCCTCCTCTTCCTTCTTCTCCTTCCCCCTCCTCTTCCTCCTCATTCTTCTCCTTCA